CCGAAACAAAAGGAGGCTGATTTGGAGCAAAAAGAGGCTGATGCTGAAAAACTGCCAAGTTGGATCAATCCAACTTTTTTTGAGATCGATCGCTTTTTCTTAGATCGATCAAAGTTGGATCGATTGAAAATCAAAGTTGGATTGATCGAAAATCAAAGTTGGATCGATCGAACTTTTTCTCTGATCGATCGAACTTTTGCTGGCAGCGAGCTGTCTTATTCCCCAGCGCACCCAAAAGTCCACCTACCATATAGTACGGAATTAGATATTTTTAGAGCTATATTCCTGACTTAGTGACTAAGAAAAGGACTAGGGGTGCACACAGTTTCGGTTCTCATGGATCCGGCTGGAATCGGAACCGTTCACGACGATTCCTTGAAAACGGAATCGGAACTGGAACCGTATAGCATGGAACCGAACCGGAACCGAACCGTAGAAATGGTACATTTCCGGTTCGGTTCCCATGGGACCATTAACTCTTAGGCAAGCACGGAGCTTCAGACGGGTTAGGACCGTTAGGTTTCAGCATCAGAAAGAGATGAGCTTAAGAGCTTCGTCGCCGATGCTCGCAGATCTGTGATCATATTTCAGAGGAGTTTAGTCACCGCATCGAGCCTCAAAAACAGAAATGGAACCACCGAGAGTAGATCGGCTTGGGCGTTGAGAGAGAGACGGTGACGGCTCTATCCCTCAATCTGAAACCACCGGCGACAGACGAAGAACATCGTTTCCGATTACCGGAGCCAAGCGACTGGAATATACAAGCTGAGCACTCATCGGGAAGGTTGGAGATGTAGTCGGGGAGATTAGGAGCGTCAGATAATAATGTCCTTAATTGACCAGCATGTCGGCGTCGGTTAACACTCGGCAAGCACAGAGCTTCAGACGGGTTAGGTTTCGACAACGGAAATAGATGAGCTTGGTACATCTGTACTAAATTACTAATCCCAGCTTTTCATCTCTGCTGCGTAATCTTGAATCTTCCACCTCATCAACTGAAGGAGCCTTGCACCCAAGAGCTGATCTATCTGTGTCATCTCTCAAACCACTAGATTTTGTAGTTTACAGACTTACAGTTGTAGAGAGAGAGAGGGCAAGTTTAGAGTCGAGAGAATAGAGATGGAGATTAGAGGCGATTGGGGAGGCTGAGGCTCAAATTAGGGCAAAAAACTAAAAAAAAATAGGTATATATATACACACGATTAATTTTATATAGTATATATAATTATATATTATAATATATATATATATATATATATACGGTTCCGGTTCTTAACGATTCCCACGGGCTGGAATCGGAACCGTATGTATACGGTTCCTAAATTCGGAACCAGAACCGGAATCGGAACCGTGAGAACTGTGAAAAACAGTTCCGGTTCCAACGATTCCGGTTCCACGGTTCTTGTTTTTTTGTGCACCCCTAAAAAGGACCTTCTATATAAAGGGAAGTGACCCATTTTGTAAAGAGGCTTTTATCATTTTTATTTCTACATTGTAATTTCATTTTCTCTCTCTAGTAAAGTTAGAGATTAGGGTTAGAAGAAAAGAGGGAAGTGGAGGCTCATCTCAAGAACCCATCTCTAGATCCACTCTCTCTCTCTCTCTAGAGTTTCAAAGAAGAAGAAGAAGAAGATAGAACCATGTTTGGAGCTTACCCTTGAGGGTTTCATGACCACATCTACCTCTTCCATGATTGGCTATATCTACACTTAGGACTTGGATAAGCTCTAAGTCTTGTGTAATCTAAACCCTTGTACGTTTATTTTTGGGGATTTATATATATTGTTGTGATTAGTGCTCTAGCCTTGTGATTGTTGATTTAATTCTTTCTTATGATTCTCTATTTTAATTACAAGTTGTCTTATGTGTGATTATTTGGGAAATTGATCTCTACACTAAATTCTTTATGTTAGTTGCATGTCTATGTGTGATTAATTAAGAATCTAGTGATAGCTAAGCATGGGTTTTCATTGAGTGGGTTTGTTAATTAATTTGATGGTTTATACTTATGCTTGATGGGTTGTTCTACAATTTAATTCATGCTTGTAGGTAGGTAGATAATCTATGCTTGCTTAGATATTCCTTGGCTTATTATTGTAAATTTCATGATTCTCTAGATTGGTGTATGCTACAATTGTGACTAGTTAGATGGGTCATGCTTAAAATTGATGGGTTATACTACACTTAGTTTAGGTAGTCTTTTCATTCTTAAAATAGATGGTCCATGCTTAATATTGCAATTGGTAGTCGCATTTTGTTCACAACAATGTATTCCCCATTAATGGAAAGCAAGTGGTTAATTACACGAGCTTAGTGGTGATTCCAACACCCTAAGTCCTCTCTTCATATCTCTTAAATCCCTTTCTCAACTTAGTTTTATTTTAATTGCATTTTCATTAATTGAAGTAGTTTAATCATCTCGTCAAATCTATTTGTAATCTTATGATACGCTAGAGTCAAAGTTAAATTCTAACACGTATAATCCCTTGGGACGATCCCTACTCACTCTTGCTATTTTAGTAGTAGTGTTGATAATGGTTTTTATAAATTTAAACTTGACCCAAAAGGCTTTTCTTGAACTGCACATTCACTACATTATTTTGGCATATATCAAGCGGCCTCGTCAAATTTTGGCGCCGTTGTCGGGGATTAACGGTTTTGTTAGAATTAAACTAGACAATAGTGTTCATTTGATTGCTTCTATTTTTATTTTATTTTCCATTGTGTATTCTTTTCTCTTGTTCTTATTATTATTTGTTCAATTAGGTACTTGACTACAAGGAAGGCAAACTTTGGAACTTGAAGCAATAATTGGAGCTTAAAGCTAATATTTAAATTTGAAGTTGCTTAAGGACCGTTGTGAGTAATTCTTGGAACTTTTGTAGCTTAATTGTTTCATTTCTTTGCATGCTTATGATAGTCCTTGTTGAGGCTCATTATATTGCTTTATCTTTGTCTAACCATAGGCCCTTGTTGAGGCCATTATTTCTTGCATTTGGATTTTAATTGTGAATGGAGGAATTGTTTGATCCAAGTTTGGGGGGAAATTATATCCCTTCACCTTATGCTCCTCCATCACATTTTAATCCTTATGAGGTTGAGTTCACGTCATTTCAACATGCATCATCTTATTATGGACTTGATCACTCATTTAATCCTTCTTATGACTATACTCATTTTATGATGAACCAACTCTACTACCTTCTAGGTATTCACCTGCATTTGAAGAAAAAGTGTTAGCTTTACTTGATGTGCATATTTCACAAACTCTACTTATTAATTCTTATTCTCAAACTTTAGCCAAGTTAGAAGCTCAAGTTGAGCAAATTGCAAGCACTCTTTCTCGTCAAAAGGAAGAGGAAGAGGCAAATGAAAAAATGGCAAGAACTTCAATGTATATAGATGAGGATGATGAGAGTGAAGAGGATGAAACAAGTGAGTTAATGCCTAGCACTCTATCTTGTATAGAGGAAAAAGTGGCAAGTGAGTTAGTGGCTAATCCAATAGAGCATAACATGATTAATGAGGACTTTCCTTGTTTTGATTATGATTTTATCTCGGACATTGCTACTCTAGAGAGTGAGGAGATGTTGACCACACTTGAGGTAGGAGAGAATGAGGAGGAACTTGTTGAAGAGGGTCTTCCTTCTATCATCTCTAAAGACCTTCTTGAGACATGCCTTTTTGAAATATATAAAATTGTGGTTTTGACTTTGAAAGCTCCAAAAATGAAGTAAACTCTCTAATGGACTCCTTAGCTAACTTAGAAGGTAAGGAGATGGTAATTTTTGAGGGAGAGAAAAAAGATGAAGAGAAGGTGTTCCTTGATATTCCAAATGAGTCTTTGAAAGACTTTGTCTTGCCAAGTGCAAGGCCGCCCATCATTGATTTCATTTTCAAGACTGTAAAATGAAAGGAATAATATCATCTCTTTCATTTCTTTTCAAGTTATTCTTTTGGAGGATGATTTCATTGTTGTAAGTGAGCCATTGAATGAGAAAAGTGAAAAGAGGACCAATAAGGATGTTTCATATCCAGTTTTTGATTTTTTTTATTAATGAGTTGACCCAACGTCTTACTAGAGACGTTAAACACTAGTATTCGTAGAGTTTTCAACTCTATTCCTTTCCCATTTCTTTTTATTATTTATTGTTATTTTTCGTTTTTTTGTACATTCTTCTATCCATTTTTCAATCTTTATTTTTGTTATCATCATTGGGGCTTAGCATAGGGTTTTCTACACTTTCATGTTGAAAATTGAGCATTTTGCATAAGTTCAATCGATCTCAAATGAGAGTTCGATAAATCAAACTTCATTCCTGCAGCAAACCTGCATCCAAATCACTCTCTGTCTCATCGATCCAAGAAAATCTTTAGATCTCAGTTCTCAGTTAGATCGATCAGAAGACCTTCGATCGATCTAAACATCAAGTTTGATCGATCTATAGTTTCAACACTTATAAAATTTTGAGCCTGCATCAACCTGCATATTTCAGCTCTCTGTTAGATCGATCGAAAACATTCCTAAACCAATCTAAAGTTCTTCGATCGATCCAACTTCATTATTGGATCGATTGAGATTCCATACTTAGAAAAATTTTCAAAGCACTGCAAATTTCATACTCTCTATCCCATCGTGCGAGCATAGATCGATCATGGTGTGATCGATCCAAGTCAAGATCGATCACAACTTTGCCCCTTTGACTTTTTGGCTTTTTCTTCTTTCTATTTTATTTTTCATCTTCTTTGACTTTTGTTATTCCTTTTATTTTATTTACTCTCTTTTCTCTTATAAAAAAAAAAAAGTTTTAAAATTTGTTAAAAATACAAAAATATTTTTGTTTATTTTATTTTATTTTCGAAAACTCTAAAAAGATTTTTATTTTATTTTTATTTTTACTTTCAAGATTTATTTTTATTTCAAACTTTTTTTAAAAAAAAAAAAAAATCCCAAAAATAATTTTCTTTTAACTTATTTCCTTTTAACTTATTTCCAAAAATTATTTATTTCCTTTTAACTTATTTCCAAAAAAATCCAAAAATATTTTATTTAACTTTAATTTTTAATTTTTCTTAATTTAGAAAAAAAAAAAATTTTTAAATTATTATTCTTTGCATTCTTTATTTCCTTGCATTGTTATTTACTTGCCTTTTTATTTTTGTTTGTGTACATATTTGTTTTGTCTAAGAAAAAAAAAAAACGGTTTTTCAATGTAGCATTCCGTCTTGTTAGAGACGTTAAACTTAGCACCCACATGACACATTGTGTCTTTTATCTCTTATATCATACATGTTCATTTTCATTTTTATTTCTTTATCTTTCTTACATTTTTCGTTTTTCTTTGCATGTCTTAAAAAAAATAATAATAATAATAAAATAAAAATTGGTACATATTTTTTGTTTTTCATTTCTTGCATTATACATATTCTTTGATTGCATTTTACTTTCTTTATTCTTCTTTTTATATTTTGTTCATACATGTTATTCTTTGTTTTTCTTACATTTTGTATATATTTGCTTCATAAAAAGAAAAATAAAAACTTTTCACCATTCACTACAACAGTTCTGGCTTTTACCAGCGCTCAAAAGCGCTGGTAAAAGTCTTAAAAAGCGCTGCTAATTCAATTACCAGCGTTTTACTAGCGCTTTTGGAAAAGCACTGGTAAAGCCTGTGTCGGTAGGCCTTTACCAGCGCTTTTCCAGAAGCGCTGGTAAAGGCCTTTTACAAGCGCTTTTCTAGAAAGCGCTGGCATAGGGTATTTACCAGCGCTTTTTGTAAAAGCGCTGGTAAAAGGCCTTTACCAACGCTTTCTGCAGAAGCGCTGGTAAAAGATATTTACCAGCGCTTTTCCAAAAAGTGCTGGTAAGGTTATTTTAGTTTTTTTTTTAATTTTTTTTTCCTCCCCCCCTATACCAGCGCTTCTTAAAAAAGCGCTGGTAAATGGTCATTTTATATATATATTTTTTTCCTCCCCCTTTATTGTTTTTGAAAAAAAAAATCATCCAATATAACACCAGTCAATATAAAAATACCATCCAAATTATTTTTACATAATACAACCACAAGTTAACCTGCTGGCAATATGAAAAATACCATCGAAATTGGCTACTGATAGATAAAGCTGGTAAATGTCAACCAAAAAGCCAAAATGTATACTAATACAACCACAAGTTAACCTACCAATATGAAAATACTATCCAAATTGTCTAGATAAAGCTACTAAATGTCACACAAAAAGAATGTAGTATTTTTGACAAATGTAGTACAAGTTTTTCAAAAAGAACCCATCCAAGGCGAAGGAAAAGACTGAAAGCACAGCCACGACCCCATCTTCAGCTTCAGCTTCAACTTCAACTTCAACAAGTCTTCTTCTAGGCCATTTGATTTGAATTACCCTAATTTTTTTATAAATTCATTAAGCGCACATTATAATAAATGGAAATTTAACATATTAGAGAAATTAAAAGTTCATAACCTTAATTGAATTGGCATCACGACTAGAAAATGAATTTGGGGATACTCTAGGAGGAGCATTTAAAGAATTATAACCCTTCAAAATAACAAAACAAGATACATGAAATCTTGGCATAAGTAAACATATATTTAGTAAAGACTAGTAACATTTATGAGAAATTTTCTAAGGAATTTGGGAAGATCAATGAACTTCACTAGTTTAGAGACATTGTCCCTTACAATATATCAACATTACATTATGTCATAGGCAATGAAAAACGAACTGGTGTCACTATAATGATTCGAAAGTTTTATGTGAACCGTTAATAATTTAAATTTTTTAACATTAATTTCATTGTAAATTAAAATCACAATACTAATATGTTTGTTGTAAATGCATTTTATATGATTATAGATTTTAAATGACTAAAATGAATCTTACATGATTTGTAAAAATAAATTTCAATTAGCTAGTAGCGAGAAATACTAAAAAAAGTGAGATTTAAAACTTAAGAAAATGTGAGATATTGGAGTAAATTAATATATTAATGGTATAGGTGAATGTACTGTTGAGTGCATATTTTAGTGAAGAGTGGTAAATTCACCTTAGATGGTTGATGGGATTATTTTGTCTTATTTTTCTATTCAAAAGAAACTAATTCTCATTATCCCTTCAAGATTAATAACAAATACTTCTCCCCCACAACACAAATCAATCAACAAGAAGCCTCCACATACAATGATCCCATACTCCCATGCTTTTCAAAAAATACAAGAAAGTAAATTGCCTCCACACGAGCCGATGATAAACAATGAAATTAAAATGCCTCCACACGGGCCGATGATTTAAAAATTGGTCACATCAAGGCATGTGACCCCCTAATACACCGCAAAGAGTTTAAAAATTGGTCACTTCAAGGCACGTGACCCATTTTTTGCAAAATGGAAGCATGAAAACTTATAATCATCTCCGAAGCAGCAGCAACAGTAGCATTGCCATCCTTATTTATATGTGTGTGAATGAATAAATCTGCACGAGAAAGCTGAATACCTTCTTTTTCCACAATCTATAAAAGAAACATAGACATTGTGATATATATTATTTACCACTAACATTTATAATCATTCAACGACATAAGAATTGAAAAATAGCAGTTTAAGTACTTAGTGATTGTGCAACTGTTATTCATTGAATTTTAAAATATTTAGTGACACATACATATTTATACCGAAACTTGAACTTCCAATCAACCATTTGAAAAAAATAGATTTGTAGCAGCTGAGATGACATGTAATTAAATGACTTTTTTATTTTTTATTTTTTATATATATCAACCATTAGGAGTTGAGTTGTTTGTGATATTCAACAAGGTCGATTTGGTCTCAAAGATGTGTCTGTTTGGAATTAAGGTGTCATATCTTTGGCTTTTTATGCAGCCTTTCCCTTCTTACTTGTGGGTGCAATGGGTTCATCAATACATTCTAAAAGGTTGAAGCTTATGAGATGTTAAGATTTATCCCAATTGCTTATGGTTTTGGAGTCAATTGCAACTTAGAGAGATTTTTAAGCCATGTGTAAAGCATACAGTAGGCAATGATCAGTGCACAGGAATGGAATCCAGTAGAAGAGTCATTCCGATTTTTGATAATTTTTTGTTGTTGTTTGGTTTGCTATATTAAAAACATGAAATGCTCATGTAATGTAACATTCACTCGATAGTCATACACAGTAGATGAGGAGGTCTCAGATTTGAGATTCAATGTCAACATTCGTACTTTTATACACTACTAGTATCTTTAAAAACAAAATTGATACAACAACTATACTTCAACAATATTTTTAATGCTATGAAATTAGTATTCAATAGATTACTTTTTACATCCTATCCGAAGTGGACTTTTAACATAGGACGGAGGGAGTATTTTCCATTTCAAATAAATGAAGTAAAACTGTAATCAAATTCCCATGTCTTCATATATACACATAAACACACTAAATTTTTTTACAAATCAACAAACATTAGTTCAAATGAAATAATTATTATATAGTTCAAAGATGATCACCAACGAACAAATAAGTATAAATTTCAGTCAGCTTTTTTTATTATTTATTTTTTTGAATTGTTGTTATTGTACTCTTCTTGATCTATAATATTTAGGATCTTAAAATGCTAATTGGCTATGTGTTTCCGAAAATATGTAGACTTGCAATTGAAATGTTGCATTTGATTCGTGAAAGAGTTAGTTGACATTATATTAGGGAGTTTTGTTGCGTCTTTCTATCACATTTTGATCAGATTTTTACTTTTCTTATTTTTTTCATGTTGTTTGTACTTGTAGGAAGCCAAACAGATTTTGTTTTTTTATTTGTACTTTTCAGCCTTTTATTGGATGCTTAGTATTGAAATAGTTAGGTTTTACCATTTGGCTCATATGTTCTTAACATTCCCAAAAACTCTCACCAGAACTAAGTAACAATATAATTTTCTTCCAAAACCTGCATAAACTTTGTGTTTTTTTTTTTTCCCCTTTTCAGTTTTTGCGGCTGAACCCACTAATTTATAGACTTATTATATATATTTGGTGAGTAATAATAGATTTAAAATGGCAAAGTTAAGGACAACTCAATATGATTTCAATGAAAGTATATTTGACCAAGAAAATGAATGCTCACTAAGAGACTTATCAACTTAGTGAATACAATATAGAATAGATCTATTATGCACGTAACTTAGACAATCGGATACTCAATTAAAAAGTAAACAATACAGCAATTCATGGTCTGTCGACAACCTTCAAAGAAAAATAAAAAGTTTGAATGACATACCTTATCTAGGTAAAGGCCAATTGTGCAGTATAATATTGTTTTACAACAAACTTGAATGATCCTGTTAGCTTAGCCAAACCTGATTAATCAAACTATTCATAATCAAATTTTTTCATTTGTAGCCTTATTATACTCTAGCTCCATGATAATACGACAATCTCCTATGGGAAGTTTAGAAATTTAAGATGAGTATTAACATCTAAATCCTTCTATCAACTACTAATATAATTAGTTATATATCTGCAAAATTGAGTTGAAAATTGAAAATTAAGATGAGTAATGGAAAATTGGGTTATATGAGAAAAGGAGAAAGTGTAAAGTACACTTTATGATGCTTTAGCTTTTCCATATTTATGATGTTTTACTTATACAACTCAGCTCAAACCTGAATCCCCATTACTTGAGTTCAGCTATGAGGATTCTTCTTCTCCAGTTGGTTTTTAGTATTGATGCATTACTTATATTATCTATAAATCTCGTAAATCATTTAGCAATCTATCTAATATTGAGTGGTAGACAATACACCTCAATCTACCATTTAATTAGTTGAGTCTAATCACATCAAACTACTAATTTACTTTGACCATACAATTGAGGGTGTAATGGTTGTCAGAATACATTAGCATAATTTGGGTCAATTAAAAATGATTATAAACGTGTACAAGACCCATAAGTTGCAAATGTAAAGAATATATTAACATAATTTCAGAACAAATTTCAAAAGTAAGTTAACTTAAAGAAGGTGTAAAACCATCAAATGGGTTCTTCACCGCCTTTGAATCTGCTAGGAGTTCTCTGGCAGTTTTGATATATGATGCCAACCCACCAGGATAGTTTGCATTAAGTCGAGCAACCTAAAAGAAACAGCTATAGTTCATAAAATTTTAAAAATAAAATAATAAGGTATAAAAACAATACTTCTAACATGAATTCAAGTGAAATGTTAGGCCATAGAGATAAAGATAGGAACAATACTTCTAACATGAATTCAAGTGAAATGTTACGCCACGGAGAAAAAGATGAAGCAGATTCAAAAGGGACGATAAAAGTCAAACAGTACAGCCTAAACTTCAATTAATTGTAATACTAAAATTTCTCTTCTTAAAAGTAGCTATGGAGGCTCAATATAAAATTTTAAGTACAACTGTATTAATTGCCAGATTTAGAATAGAGAAAGTCTATGATGAGGGCATAAACTCACAGTAAGAGCGCCCTTATTATAGCTTTTACCTGTGAAAAAATCCAAACTTTTCAATTCTTATGCTTATTCTCAAATTGAATTCCGCAAACTCAACTGAATTTTTTCACCAGTGTCCCCAGTTTTAATCCAAAAAGTATGTATATATTCATAACTTAATATAATTTATGATATCATATAGAGAGAGAAGCATTGATATTGCATAACAAGAATGATCTGCAAAATTGTTCACATTGATATCGCATCAATTCAAATATAGAAACCTTCATATACCTGATCGAAGAAAGCTAGCTTCTCATCGTCATCGATGCCAGGCTCAGGCCAATGCTGTAACAGATGGGTCTGTCCGACCTCCAACAGCAACTTCGCAATCTCAACCTACCACACAACATCATGTATTCCAATCAAATGCAGAAACTAAAAAAATCAAACCATATCAATTAATAGGCCTTTTATCGGTTCAGGTAGAGTTTGACTTTAGTTGACAGAAGGATTCTGTTAACTAATAAATGATACATACGGCAACCCCATGGGCAATTCTTCCACAATTAGAAATTTATATATATATATAAAAGTCTAAATCAAAATATCCAATGAACATAATCATCAACATAACACCAAGATAGAGATTTTTGGACACAATTACAACAAACAAGAACATACCTGAATGAAAATAAAAAGAATCCCCAAGAAATAGAGAAGTGTAGCTGTAATCTGAACCACGGGGACGGCGAACTCGATGAGGCCAAGCTGGACATCGAATTCCATCAATGGCAACCGATAATCGATGCCGGCAAGATGAGCAAGGAGATCATGAACGTTCACAAAGATTATGAGAGCTAAGCCTAGAAGTAGAAGAACCAAACCCAATTTCGGCTCGCTGGCGAGCCGAACCGCGAAGCTATAGAGAAGAACAATGGTGGCGAACATGTATAGGCCGGCGTTTATATACTCGGACCGGTTTTGAGCCAGCTGGGGTCCGTATATCTGACTCTCTTGGGCCGATGCAAGCTTCACCATTCTGATCAATCAAAACTGGTATAGTATATGTACGTAGAGAGAGAAAGTGAGAGAAGTGATAGAGAGATTGGAGGCAGAGTTGCTGAGAGAGAGGGGTGGTTGAGGAGGAGGGGCACGTGTCATTATAATTGGGGAGTTGCATAGAGAGAGGGGGGCGCAAGTTCAACGTTGAGACTGAGATTAGAGATGGAGGCAATTGGGGAGTTGCAGAGAGAGAGATGGAGGCGACTGGGGAGTTACAGAGAAAGAGGAGGGCAAGTTCAGAGTTGAGATCAAGAATAGAGATGGAGACGATTGGGGAGGCTGAATAAAAACTAGGGCTTGGATGAAATTGTTAAAGTTAGAAATAAAGTGAAAATTAGAGCGCCAAATTATCCCGCACTACATTTTGCATTTACCAGCGTTTGTTTAAAAAGTGCTGGTAATTAGTACTGGTAATTAGTACTCAACACCAGCGCTTCTAAGAAAGTGTTGGTAATTTGTACTGAACACCAGCACTTTTGAAAAAAGTGCTGGTAATTAGTACTCAACACCAGCGCTTCTAACAAAGCGCTGGTAATTTGTACTCAACACCAGCGCTTTTTTAAAAAGCGCTGGTGAAACCCTAATATGTTGTAGTGATTGTGCCCTTATGTGTAGTCATGCACACTTTATGTTTTAGTTAGGGCTTGATCTCATATCTCTCTTTCATCTTGTGCTATATTGCCTTAAAATGCATGATTTGATTATTCTTATCCCATTTGATATTTGATGTGAGTTTGTTAGTGTGGTTATTCAAGTAGGTTGTTTATTCCAAGTTTGGGGGAGACATCTTTCGAATTGGATCATTGCCGAGCATCATGTCTTTATCACCACGGTATACTTTTTTCATCTTTTCCATTGTTCTCATTGCACATTGAGGACAATGTGCGGTTTAAGTTTGGGGGTAAGGTGTCTTTGTTACATTCTACTTACGTTTGAGACTTAAATGCATGATTGAGATTTGAGATTGATGTTAGCAATGATTTTGATCTTTTGAGGACTATATTGCTAAAAATTTAAAAATTGCTTCACTTGAGAGTCCAATACTCCTTGTTTGCCTTGTGGATGCCATTTAGGAGTAAATTTTTCAAAAGATTGATATCTTGCTTGCATTTGTGGTCCATATTATCTTGATTTTGTGATTGTTTTGAGATTCATTCTAGGATTCTACACTAGTATAAGTGCACACTAGCATTCATTTATGGGGTACATGCTTTGTTGATTATTGAATTGGTTATATTCCAATTGGGCTAGTAGTGCATTGAAAGCTTTCATTCTTGATAAAGGTGGATAACAACCCCTTTTCACTAAGTAGCCAGGATTCTAGCCTCATCAAGCACTGAATTTCTCGTGCCGAAAGGTGGAGGGCCTAAACTCTAGGTTAATAATTGAACTTGCTTACCAAAAAAAAGCAAAAGCAAAAGCAATAAAAAGTGAGGACTTCTCCCAAATGGTGAGAAGTGAGAAATGATTAGATGGAGGTTGTCTTGATTTGTAGCGTAGTTGATTTGAGCTTGTAAGTCCATAGGAGTGTTTGAACGCCTAATACCCTAAAGCTGTCTGGTTTGGGAGTCATTGACCTAACGCTCAACTCATGAATCGCTAGAAAGCTTAATAGATCAACACATTGCACCATGCTTCCATCTTTGATTCTAAAAATAAAAAAAAAATAAAAAAAACAATCGAGTGAAAAAAATAAGTGCACCTAGATTAATGAAGTTTTAATAAAAGGTTCACTTTTTATCTTGATGATCGGTACTAGATTTGTGTGCTAGTTTGAGGGTAAGGATGTGATTAATTCTTTAGTTGGCTTAGATAGCAACATATTTGATGCCTATCCACTCAAAAGGATTCTAAAGTTGTTTTAATTTGCATGATCATTTTCTTGATGTGTGGAGGACCATACTTGCTTGCTTGATGTTGAGATTTTGGGAGATTGCTTAGAAATGTTTGAAAAATTACATACTTGAGGTAGTTTTCTCCCAATGCTTGTTTGCAATATTGGTGTCTCTTTTGTGAGAATGAGCTTAATGTTTGTGGGTATCATTTCTGGAAACCCTCACGAGACTTCACTCGTCCACTAGGGGTAACCTAGGGGTTTAAAAGGCTTGTTGCATGTGCTAAGTGCAATCGTGTTCCCTACGAAAGTGGCGTTATCCTTTTATTGCTTTCTAGTTTGTAGTTGTTTAGTTGTTCATTTCATTTCTTTACTTTGTAGTTTATTGCTAGGGACTAGCAATATTTAAGTTTGGGGATGTGATGAGCGCTGAAAAGTGCGCTTTTAAACCCCATAAGCTTGAGTGTTCTTGGACCTTTATCTATCTTATTTTCCCGTTTTAGTACTTATTTGTGTTTTTGTCCATTTCAGGTCAATAATGTTAAAATGGCCTAAAAATGGTTTCTTAAGGCCTTTTTGGAGTCAACTAAGTCTTAGTGAGGATCTGGAGCAAAAGGAGACTGATTTGGAGCAAAAAGAGGCTGATACTGAAAAACTGCCAAGTTGGATCGATCCAACTTTTTATGAGATCGATCGCTTTTTCTGAGATCGATCAAAGTTGGATCGATCGAACTTTTCTCTAATCGATCGAACTTTTTCTATTATCGATCGAACTTTTCCTGGCAGCGAGCTGTCTTATTCCCGTGCGCACCCAAAAGTCCACCTACCACATAGTACGGGATTAGATATTTTTGGAGCTATATTCCTGACTTAATGACTAAAAAAAGGACCTTTTATATAAAGGGAAGTGACCCACTTTGTAAAGAGGCTTTTATCATTTTTATTTCTACATTGTAATTTCATTTTCTCTCTCTAGTAAAGTTAGAGATTAGGGTTAGAAGAAAAGAAGGAAGTGGAGGCTCATCTCAAGAACCCATCTCTAGATCCACTCTCTCTTTCTGTAGAGCTTCAAAGAAGAAAAAGAAGAAGATAAAGCCATGTTTGGAGCTTACCCTTGAGGGTTTCATGACCACATCTACCTCCTCCATGATTGGCTAGATCTACGCTTAAGGCTTGGATGAGCCCTAAGTCTTGTGTAATTTAAACCTTTGTATTTCTATATTTGGGGATTTATATATATTGTTGTGATTAGTGCTCTAGCCTTGTGATTGTTGATTTAATTCTTCCTTATGATTCTCTATTTCAATGATATGTTGTCTTATGTGTGATTATTTGGGGAATTGATCTCTAGACTAGATTCTCTATGTTGGTTACATGTCTATGTGTGATTAATTAAGAATTTAGTGGTAGCTAAGTATAGGTTTTCATTGAATGGGTTTGTTAATTAATTTGATGGTTTATACTTATTCTTGATGGGTTATTCTACAATTTAATTCATGCTTGTAGGTAGGTAGACAATCTATGCTTGCTTAGATATTCCATGGCTTATTATTGCAAATTCCATGATTCTCTAGATTGGTGTGTGTTACAATTGTGACTAGTTAGATTGGTCATGCTTAAAATTGATGGGTTGTGCTACACTTAGTTTAGGTAGACAATTCATTCTTAAATTAGATGGTCCATACTTAATATTACAATTGGTAGTCGCATTTTGTTCACAACAATGTATTCCCCATTAATGGAAAGCAAGTGGTTAATTACACGAGCTTAGTGGTGATTCCAACACCCTAAGTCCTCTCTTCATATCTCTTAAATCCCTATCTCAACTTAGTTTTATTTTAATTGCATTTTCATTAATTGAAGTAGTTTAATCATCTCATCAAATCTCTTTACAATCTTGTGATACAGTAGAGTCAAAGTTAAATTCTAACACGTATAATCCCTTGGGACGATCCCTACTCACTCTTGCTACTTTAGTAGTAGTGTTGGTAGTGGTTTTTATAAATTTAAACTTGACCCAAAAGGCTTTTCTTGAACCGCACATTCACTACATTATTTTGGCGTATATCAAGCGGCCTCGTCAATCACCTCCCTAGATAGGGAGTTAGTTACCTATGAAAACAAGGAATGAAGAAGAAGACGAAGAATCCCTCTCCATTTTCGCATCTCAGCCCTCTCAAACACAACCCTCACAAGCTCTCAATATTTCTCTCTCTCCCTCTTCCAAAAATGTGTGATGATCCATAATACAAGCTTCCCCCCTTCTTTTGTAGACAAGATGTTTACCAAACCACCCAAAACCGAGGTCCATGTTCCCTAAAGGTCTTTCACCAACAATCTGATTAAGGAGGGAATCCAAATTGAAAGGTTCAAGGAGACAAGTGGGTCTGCAGTGTGTTTACGAGAGCTCGTAGATCGCAGCACGAGCGCTCGTAAATGCCTTAGACAAAATCTTCTTGGATCGAGAACATGGACGAGCGCTCAAAGAAGGAGTTACGAGCGCTCGTAGCTGCTGAGATTTCTACTACCGAGCTTTGGAGGGCTCAAAGGTGACTTAGGAGTGCTCGTAAGTGACTTGGAACATTCTGCTTGAAATTAGAGCGCTCATATGTCATACGAGCGCTCGTGTGACATGGTAGAAAACACTTGGATGCTTATGTATGCTGTACGAGCGCTCGAAGAAGGAGCTACAAGCGCTCGAAGAAGGGGTTTATAAAGGGTTTGTGTGTTTGTCACTAAACTAAGAAATTAAAATGTATAAAACAATAGATTGCAATGAAATTGAAGAAGTGAGATACAAGTAGAAAAGACTAGGGAGATGAATCCACACTACACCCTAAGTACATGCTAGATTAGGTCTAAATTTGGGGATAAATAGCATATATGCATGGGTCAAGAAATATGAAGCAACTCCGTTGCTTAATAATCATCAAGAAGTTCACTTAATCAAAACAAGAATGATCCATCAAAAGCTACCATAGTTGAACTACTTAAACTAAGGTGTAGAATCAAATACACTATCTCAAGCAAAAGACCATCAAGCTTTCAATCAAATGGTGAAGCACACGAAGGTAGGAATCAAGTATAAACCATCAAAGGAGGTACCTAAGCAATGGAATATCAAGTTTCAAAATCAACATGCCTTGAAAAACATTCATAGTCTATATTTTCATTGTCACTATGAAAATAAAAGCAATAAGATTGATCCAAGAATCATCAAAGATATGACAATGAACTTACATCAACCATTTACACATTAAAATTCATTACAAGAAGGAATATGCTCTTAGACTATGAAACTACCATACATTATACATTATAGTCCCCAAAAGTATAGCCTAATCTAGAACATGATCAAATGAGGAGGCTTCATCACCTCCCTAGATAGAGGTTTAGCTCTCCATTGATACAAAAATGGAAGAAGAAGAAGAAGAATACAACTTCATTTTCGAGCTCTACTGTAGCATTCAAGAACACTCTCCTCC